TTAATTTCACCTAAATTTGTAAGAGCCAAATGTAGTTCTTCTAAATTTGTAGGCAACTTTGGAATAATGCTTGACCGCGCATAATGAATATTTTTTCTTATCAGCGTCGTATCTGCAGTAGTCAAACTGGATATGTCTCCTTGGCGTAATTCTTTATGTAAAATTTTACACGGTTTTTCATACGGATCATCCAGAGCTTTACGTTTTAATTTGTTGCTGACTTTTTGTCGAGTTAAAATATTTATATCATCCTTGTCATGATCGTGATTTAAAACACTAAAAACAATATCACCATTTTCACTTAGCTTAAAAAAAGATTTACACAAACGTTTAGTACATGCCCATCTCTGTATGTTGTTATTTAAAAATTTTTTAAAATGAAATTTATACCCGTTAATTATATATAATTTTTTATTTTTTTCGCTTAACATTTGATTCACTTCCATTTTGGTCGCGATTGAGTGTTGACTATCAACTGATATTCAATTCCAATTTCATATAGAATATAGATCGTTTAATATTATTTATCAAATTATCAGCTTATATCTTATTACCGAAAAGTCCCATTCCCTACATAGTACTACTAGTACATACTAGTATTTATAATCAATGATAATACCCATATATAGCTATCATCTGCACCATCTGCACGCAATTCGGATGCAGCCATTTATAGTACTGGCCTATATTTACACATCAATATAGCTATGTCGTATTCGATACATAGTTATAATTAATTATAAAGCAAGTAGGTATAGGTACCTACTACCTACATATAGTTATAGTTTTTAAATTAATGCAGTCAGTAGAGCCCAATATTCTATTTATACGTTTATCATTCGTCTTAAAAGAAAATTGCCATAAACGATATTTTATTTAGGCACTCGATGTTCAGTCACTTGTCGAGTGTGATACGTGGTTAAAATAATATTATAATCCTATATGTACCATTTACACAGTATTGGTACAGTTTAATTACCATTTACCAGGTACCGTCGAATCGGCCAACTTGGGCAAAAATATTACCTCCCTAACGGTTTCTTGTCAAATAATTAATGTGAAAAATATTTCATGTCGTTATGCTAACAATATTTAAAATCATTTTGGTAAGTAGTTTTGCACCATCAAATTTTAACTCATAAGATAGGTACCTAAGTATACACACGAGAAGAACACTTATTGCCTAAATACTAATTTTCAAATACCTACCTATAAGCCAAGGTAGGTACTTGCAGCTTGGTAGATATTTCTTTTTATTTCATATATGTATAGTACCAACCTATATTTACACATCAATGTTGTTGTGCCGTATCAATGCTGAAAATGCTAGGTAATATAAAAATCTATATCAAGTCATCGCAGTAAAAAATATGAAATTTTATTTTGCGGATTCGAATAGGTAATTAATTAACTATAAAGTAGGTAGGTACATAATTACAATTTTGAAATCAATAAAATCAGTGAACCAGCTGTATCCACTTGCCCAATTTTTTATTTATACGTTTGTCATTCGTCTAAATAGAAAATTGCAACAAACGGTATTTTATTTGGGCGTTGCAGGTTGAATCACTAGTCGAGTTACGCGGTTATAATAATATTATATACCTACCTACCAATTACACAGTATTACAGTTAAGGTACCAGGTACCGTCGAATAGACCAACTTGGGCCTTAAAAATAATATAATATACACTAAAATTTTTATATTACCACAAATTATATTTTTCAATGAAAACAAAATAACTTTACAATAATAATTATTCTTGGTTTAAATATACACCTAATTTTCTTCTAATTTTAACTTATATAATGTCTGTAAAAATAACAAGTAATAAAATTTGAAAATTATATACCAGAGTGTACCTGAGATTGGGCCATAAATGTACGTCATAAAAATATAAGAATATAATGTAACGTTTATAAACTAATAATTATATTTTGAAATGCATAAAGTACAAAAATATATAACCAATATCACCAATGTCAATCACGAAGGAGTTAGTTATCATGGGTGTGTAATGATTATCAATTGGTTCTAAAAATGTAATCGCTTAAACTGGGGTGGGGTACATGTCTTCGAATGTCATGTGTTCGAAGGTCATGTTTTCGAATGACGAGTGTTAGAAAAGTTATTTGTTAGAATAGTAATGTAATCGAAAAATTATTTGTTCGAAAAATATATGTTCGAAAAGTTGTATGTACGAAAATTATTTATTTAAATTAAAAAGCTATCTAATATTATAAAAATTAATAAACATAAAATTTAAAAAAATATATTTGGAAAAATATACCTATGCAGTTATAAATCAATAATTAAAAACTTAAATTATATGCAATTGCTTTTAAAAACTACAATTTACAATATTTAGGATTGTCGATTATTCGCTGTTGAATTGATTGCAATCTCATATTGCGGTCCACACCATATTTCTTTTTCTTTATTTGATGTCCGGATATTAACATTTCAATCTGTGATTCTGTTTCAGATTGAATTTTTTGCACGATTGTAATAAATTAGTGAAGCCCTGAAAAAAAAAAAAGAAATAAAATATTTATAAAATAAAAAATATAAAAATGTATTAGTTGTTCTCGGAAGTTCTGATCTAACACTTTATCTCTCAACATTTTATTCAGGGCTTCACAATTTTATAACAATCGTGCAAAAAATTATATATTATATAATATATATATATTTTTTTCCAAATATTTTTTTTAAATTTTATGTTTATTAATTTTATAATATTAGATAGCTTTTTAATTTAAATAAATACTTTTCGTACATACAACTTTTCGAACAAATAATTTTTCGATTACATTACAATTCTAACAAATAACTTTTCTAACACTCGTCATTCGAAAACATGACCTTCGAACACATGACATTCGAAGACATGACCCGCTCCCCTTAAACTGTTGTGGAAAAAACGCATATTGATTTTTTAATCATGTTTTTGACATGGTTCATTATCCTGGTGCGGGATTCTGTGAAATGATTTTGAACGGGTTTAGCCTAATAATTTCTTCTTTGTGTTTATTTTCCTAATCTAACAATTTATTGTATTCATTGAAATTTGTTTTAATATAGAATTCCCAAGAATGAATACATGAGAAGAGAATGGCTTAAAGTTTAAGGAATTGATCGCTGTAATGAATGGCAACGTATATGTAGTATATTTAGTTATATTATATTATATTATTTATATTTAGTTTTTTGTTAGAAGAAAATTATAAGCCAGGAAAAAAGCGATATTTATTTTCAAATGCTATTCCCCAACCTTATGATCGAAATGGTTTTCCTTCTAAGTAATACTTCTTGATCTCTATAATTTAATTTATCATTTTCAATAGTATTTTTATTTTTATATTATAAAAATAATGTAATTTTACCAATGGAACAAAATATAATACGGTGAGTTAATGAAAATTATATTTGACTAGATTTTGTTTTTACAATTATTTAAAAATGTAGAAAATTGGATAATTATGATTAAAGTGATTACATGGAATCTGAATTTTACAGAGAGGAACATATTGAATATGCTGCATTAAGGAACAGATTAAAACCAGGTGCAAATTAATCATTATTTTTGGATAATGGTAAGAAAAAAATTAATTATTTGTTGTTTTATTTTGTATTAACTTTTTAATTATTAATTAGCATTCCATTATTATAGTTTAGGTAAATACAAATTTTTATTTTGCTACATAATGTAATAACTTTCTAAATTAATTTTCAAAAATCTATCCTTAATGACCTCGGAAAATATAAAACATACTAATTTTTGTTGGAGAAACATGCTTAAAACAGTAATTTTTCCTCTTAAATCAGTTAATCCAAGGTAATGATTTGGGAATGTCCGTTCAAATAATCTTTCTCTGATGTCATATTTCTTTTTTATAATAAAAGTGCATTTAAAATCATTATTATTATAACGCCTGGTTTTATATGTTCTTTAATGCAGCATATTCAATAAGTTCCTCTCTCTGTAAAATTCAGATTCTATGTAATCACTTTCATCATAATTATCATTGAAATACTTAAAAAATAATACATTTTCCACTTGACTAAAAGTAGGTATATGTGTATTAGTGACTGGTTTTATTAAACTGATCAAAAAATTCATTCGAGGCTTTAGTTTTGTACAAAACGTTATTCAAATACTCTTCTTTATTTTTCTGTTCGTTAGCTAGAACTAAGTTGAAGTCCTTTATTCCATCTTCCAAGTTTCTAAAAGTATATAAATAAAATGTATTATTTACAATTTAAAGCGTTCAATCAGTTAATGTTGTATAATATAATTATTTAGATAGGTAATTCAAAAAAACATCAAAATAATCTGTAAGCCATTACAAGTTAAAACTTGTAGGTAATGAAATATTAGGACATTAGGTATCAAATTTTCTAAAATCCATAATTTGTCCCACTATTAAGGGAAAAAAATATAAATAAAACCAGTTTTCTTTATTTCCCCATACACTATTATGTCTAAGATATTGAAAAATAGGTATAATTTTGTATTTAGAATAGTTATGTCTATTTCTGTTGCATCAAATTATGTGTATACATTTATGAATAATTTCATACAGTGTCGAGAAAAAACACGTTCTAAAAGAATGACCCGATTCCTAAAACGAGTTATCTTTGTAGGAATGAAGCTGGACCTGTTTCCTTCATAAAATATAAAAAAAAAAATGAATATGAACGAATTTTATTTAGGAACGTGAACAAACATCAGTTTCTTTTGTAAATTTTTGGGAAAAACACATTTTCAAACCACAGATAGGTAAAACAGAATTGATTTTTTTTTTTTAATTACCGCCTTTTTTTAACATTAATAAGTTATTATGTATAGATAGAGTAAATAACTCGATTTTGAAAAAAATGGCAATACCACGACGTTTTAGATTGTGACCACACATTTTTGTTTCAACATTAAAACTATACCTTTTTTTCTTTTGCATTTCTCGATCACTGAGTGTGCCGCACCTGGCCAGTATATTTAAAAGATCGGTCCAATCTTTTTCTTGTTTATCGTATATGCCTCTTTTCGTATCTGAAATTATATAAAACCAATTTTACTATTTTCTGTTTATTTGTTAGTTCTTAATATTGATGTATTGGGGTGTTATTAAGGATACTTCATGGACGGAGAGGGCATACAATATTATATATCTACTATAACTCTCGATACATTACTCATTAGTAATTTTAATTATTTATTCTTAATTGTACGAAGATGAAATACCTTAAGTTCTGCTCTTTGACTAGCTTGTTCATCGTATATCGCTTGTTTCATGGCCGGCGTTAATCCTTTGTAGAGCGACGTCGATATTTTTCCGGGCCCTAAAGCACTGTTGAACCCGAGTTCGGGATTTTCCTTCAAAAAGTCTCCTGTGATCGCGTTGTATACTTCTGCCATTTTGTCTTCGTTGCTCTCGGCTTCCATAATACTTTTGTTCATTTTTTGCTCAGACGCCTAAATTTGAACAAAATATAGTCGATATTTGTGTTCATTGCCATTCACTGTAGAGTTCATCACTATAGAACAATACTGCCACAATTGAAAAAGTTTAGTTTTGAGAAAAAGCTATTTAAAGATAGTTCTTTACCTATAATGCGTTTGGTACTATAAAAACTTAAAAACTTACAAACACTTTTTCAAATATTATGAAATAGTCTGATATAAACCCACAAAGTTAGACTTATAGCATTTCACAATTTTTTTAAACAAATTTAGTAAAACATTTCTATTTATAAACACGCAAGACTGCAGTAGTATTTCGTATGACAGCTGCGATATTACAATTTTATTATAAGAAAATGCAATATCGACCAACTGAACTCTAAATATCGAAGAAGTCTTGAATTTTGACTTCAGTGATTAATTGGATAAATTAAAATACGTATATTTTATAGAGGTAGGTACTGCCATAGAGTAAAAATGCCTCACTTGCTTTAAACATTGGCTTAACATTATATAATTCAATACTGATACATATTTTTAGTGGCTAGATGAAAAATAATAATATTGAATGTGGCGGTCTTGTATTATTAGAGCTTTAAAAGTAAGTCAAAATTGATGAACTTTCAGTAGTGGGTGCAGTCTTATGTTCTAGAGGTGCGTTGTCCACGTTATTGAATTAACAAAAAATACGAACTCACTAGAGCTTGGTTGTATCGGTAATTTGCCTCTATCAGTTTTCTTCTACACTCATTGTCCAGCGTTGCAAGTGCCATTGCTCGTTGAACTGTTGTGTGTTCGGTTTCTTGTCACGTACGTTCGACATTTTTATTCTCTTCTCGAGTCTTATTTTTTTCGCGTATTTGCAATTTCCAACCATACACGCTGTTGTTTTATTTGTTCCGCTTTTTGTTCTTTCGTCGTGCCCTCTTGGCCTTCAAATC